GCTAACAGAGACTCCACGCTAACAGAGACACAGCGCCAACAGGATCCTAATGGTTCCTATGGGTAGCGAGAGAGAGAGAGAGGAGAGGAGAGGAGAGGAGAGAAGAGAAGAGAAGAGAAGAGAAGAGAAGAGAAGAGAAAAAAAGAAGAGGAGAGGAGAGAGGAGAAGGGAAGAGAAGAAAAGAGCAGAAAAGAGAAGATAAGATAAGGGAAGAGACGAGACGAGAAATAGAAGATAAGAGAAGGTAAGAGACGAAACTATAAGAGAGGATAAGAGAAGAGCAGAAAAGGGAAGGGACTATAATAAAAATGGTATGGTAAATGGGAGTGGGGAATAGAGAAGAGAAGGGACGAGATGAGAAGGAACAGAAGAGAGGAGAAGATAATCGAAGAGAAGAGAATATGTGAAACATACAAAGGAATGGAAGCGAAGGTAAGAAAATATAGGAGAAGAGAGGTGACAAGATAAGAGGAGACAATACACTTAACTAATACACTTAACGAGTACACTTAAGTTATACACACCGCGCCTCCCCGGTCCCCTCCTCTCTTTCCCTCCCCTCGCCCACACATACACTTACCTAATACACTTAACTAATACGCTGCACTAATACACACCACCCGTCCTCTGTCCTCTCCTCTCCTTCCCTCTCCTCCCCCACACGTGCACTGAAATAATGCACTTAACTAATACACTTAACTAATACACACCGCTCCTCCCCTGTCCTCCCCTCTCCTCTCCTCTCCTTCCCTGTCCTCTCCTCTCTTTCCCTCCTCCCCCACACGTACACCTAATTGATACACTTAGCTAATACACTTAACTAATACACACCGCTCCTCCCCTGTCCTCTCATGTCCTATCATGTCCTCTCCTGTCCTCTCCTCTCCTTCCCTCCTCCCCCACACGTACTCTCAACTAATACACTTAGCTAATACACTTAACTAATACACACCGCTCCTCCCCTGTCCTCTCATGTCCTCTCGTGTCCTCTCCTGTCCTCTCCTCTCCTTCCCTCTCCTCCCCTTCCCTCCTCCCCACACGTGCACCGAACTAACACTCTTAACTAATACACTTAACTAATCCACACCGCTCCTCCCCTGTCCTCTCATGTCCTCTCATGTCCTCTCCTGTCCTCTCCTCTCCTTCCCTCTCCTCCCCTTCCCTCTCCTCCCCCCGCACGTACACTTAACTAATACACTTAAGCAAAACGCTTGACTAACACACACTGATCCTCCCTCTCCTCCCCTCTACTTCCATCCCGTCCCCATACGTACACTTAACTGACACATTTGACTCATACACTTAACTCATACACGTAACTAATACACTTAATCATACAATTAACTCATACACTGAACTAATACACCTAACTGATACACTAAACTAACGTACTTAACTAATACACTTAACGAATACACTTAATTAAGACACTTAATCACACACTTAACCATTGCACTTAACACATACACTTAACTAATACACTTGACTAATACACTTAACTAATTGCAAGTGCTACTGTACACTTACATTGTACACTTACAACTTGTTTACCGTATACTTTCGTCGAATCCTCGTCTTCCGGTAGTTGGCGATATTCGCCGATACACGTTTTCTTTGGCAACTCATGGGAGCATCCCATTTCATCTTGCTGGCTCTTGCGAATCGACGCTAACAGACGCGAATCGACGCTAATCGACGCCAGATCAACGCTAATCGACGCTACACCGGCGCCCTCTCATCGATTACCAGACGCCAATACACGCTAGGGCACTCTGAAGACATAACTGCAAGCACTCACACAAGGCTCCCGTGATTTGCTACCGAACTCCACGCGGCCCGCTTGCACCCACAGCTTGAGCAGGTACACTTCATGCGAACCAGCCCACGCACCGATGGATAGCCCGGTGCCAACAAAGGACGACCTCGCGGCCTTGTTCTTCAGGCGTGCGTTTCCGAAAGCCCTGAACCCCAAAACGGGGTTTTCGTCTCTTGGGGCACATCTTTTACTTCCGCCACCTTCCGCCGCCCTCCGCCCGCGGAGGCGGTCTCGTTTTACCTCCGCTGACCTTCCGCCGCCCTCCGCCGCAGAAGAGATGGCACCTCCTTCTGTCCTCGAAAGCAGAGCCCTTCTTGGAACGCCCAAGGCCGAGCGGCACGACCCCCATGGTCTGCGACCGAAACACTCGTGAATACGAGCCGAGCGGAAGCGTCCGTGGCTTGCCATCTGACGAACTGCGCCGCCTGGACGTCGGCGCAGCCGGGCCTCGGCCCCACCAGGTGCGGCCCCGCGCCCCGATCGCCGCCGCCGGCCGCGAGGGGGGGGGGGCCTCGGCCTTGTCCTCGTCGAGGGCCAGGTAAGTGCTGTACAGCAGCGCGGGGGAGGCGACGAAGGCGAAGATCACGAAGGTGCTCAGAGGCCTGGCGCCCGCCCGCGCCAGGGGGCCCCCACGAGCGGGAGTGCCGTGCTGCGTGGGCCCCGCTCCAGACCAGGGGCGGGCGCCGCGGATGGAGATTTGCCCTTGCCCCGACATTCGTGCTGCGCCAAGAGCAGCGGCCACGCTGCCTGTAGACGCGTCCCCACCGAGTGTGTCATTGTAGGTAGCGACACCCACCCGTGTCTATAAACGACATCCGAGTGCGTGGCTAGAGAATACTTGTATTTGGCATGGGCCCCGCGCGACCTTACGCGGGCAGCTTACGCGCATGTCGGCGAGGAGTCGACCCCGCTCTCTTCCGTCGCTCACATGATGTTCTGGTCCACCAACCGCACTTCGACTACTGACTCCCGAGGGGTGACAAGCGAGCGGCACCGAGACGCTACAGGAATTTGAGCAGGGACCGAACGTCCCGGCTTTCCTATAGGCGTTCCACGAAATACTCTTAGAACCCAAAGATATTCTGAGAGCAAAAACCATGTTCTTAGAACATAGACCCGATGTGCCATGGCAAGACAGCCCCAGCCAGAACTCTTCTCACAATATTTCGCGCAGACCACATGAGGCTCTTCGAACATTCTTCAGTGAGCCTATAAGCGAGCCAGGACGCTCCGCCACTGCTCGAGAAGAGGGCCACCGAGCTGCACGGGCCACGGCCGACTGGACGTCACCCCGACCGTGTGGTCTGCGGAGCCTCCCCCGCGACCTGCTGCCGCGGCGGCGCCACGAGAGAGAGGGAGGGCCGCGCCCTCGCCTCCCAGTGCCGAGGGCTGCTGGCCCTGCGTGGGGAGGCGGTGCGAGCGATCGTCTGCAACAGAACAGCCGTGTCTACAGTCGGGGCGTTGACCTAAGGAACCCTAAATAAGGAACGAGGCCCCTTTTTTCAATAAGTTAAACTTCGATTCCCCATCGAAAACCTAAGGACAACCTAAGGCAAGCTGCGAAACAATTAAGGAACACGGAGCCCCTCCCCAACGAAAAGGGTTCCTTGTTTAGCGCCCCGACTGTAGAGGCCTCCTAGATGGAGTCCGAGCAGATGGGGTCGAAGGATCGCGCCGCGTCGCCGGTGCATCGGCGGTGCACCAGGCGACGTCGGCGTGGGGAAGCACGGGCTCCACACCGAGCCGCACCGTCGACGCATCGGCGGCGCGGCGCGATCCTCCGCCCCCATATGCTCGGGCCCCCGTCTGGGAGGCCTACAGAGTGTTTTTGTTGTACCTGATGCGGTGCGACGAGCTCCCAGCGGCACGGGTCGTGGACTGTAGTTCTCGGGCGTGCCGCTCGTGTCGCGGTGTGTGGAGAGCCGGGTCCTGAGCTGGGCGTCGCTTGTTGGGGGGGGCGAGAAATGGGGGAGAGGGTGCACTTCTCGAACCCGAAAGGGCCCCCCCAGGCGCCCTAAGGGGCCCCTCCTCGATAGCCCTCGCTGCCTCCCCGGTTCTCGTCCCCATCCCCCCCCCAATGACTCAGCGTCCAACTGAGGACAGGGTCGGGAATTCCAGGGGGACCCCGTGTGGAAAAGATCGAGGCCTCGGCTGTCTGGGCACGCCTGCCGTGGACGAATCTGGAGCTGCGGTGGGAGGCCCTGCGCGATCCCCGAGGCCTGGCCCTGGCCTCCACATCTGACTGCAGCGTCTCGATGGCCAGGCGCAGTCCACCTCCACTCGCTGGGCGAGCGTCGCGCGCACTGCCCCGCTGCGGCTTGCCCCTGCAAATCCCCTCCTCCGCGTCGCCTCGCCTCGGCGCCGGCCTCGCCATGCCCTGGGCGCCGTGCTCTGCCTCGGTATGCCTCGCCTGGCCACGGCTCGCACGTGCCCTTCGCCCGTGCCTGGCGCTGCCGTGGCTGGCCACGGCTCACCCTGGCCTTGCCTTGCATTGCTGGGCGCTGCCTCACCTCAAAACGGGCTGCGTTGCCGGGCCATGCCTTGCCTTGCCTTGCCTTGTCCTGCTCTGCAGTGGTGGGCCTCGCCTGGCACTGCCAGACAGTGCTTGGTGTCATCGCGTGCACTGTCTCGCCACGCACGCTGCGAGGTGTGATTTCAGCTGCTTTCCCGCGCCTTTCGCCGGAAGGGCGGAGGTGGAAGAGCGAGGCAAGCGGACTTGGAGCGCCGCTGCGTTACAATGCTTTGCGTGGTTGTTCTGCTCAACGTTTTGCCTTGGCTTGCCCCGATGTATCGCGAATCGCATTGGATGGGCTTGATTCGTCGCGGTGTGCGTTGGATCCCGCCTATGTGTCGTATTTTCCTCCCCGCCCGAGCTTGATGTACACCACCCCGCGTTCTGCCGCCTCGCCGTGTATCACAATCCCTGTGTGTGTGTTGGCATGTCGCCTCTCGCCGGGCTCGCCCGATGTGCTGTATACGCACATCGCCCTGCCTGCCCGTACGCTGCCTCGTCGTGCCCTGCCAGGTTTGCCAGCTTATGATTCCCGCCCTTCTTGTCCCTACCCCGGCCTTCTCCTCTACCCTGTCACATCGCTTCTTTGTGTCAAGCATGGTGGGGAACGCCCACGCAAAGTTGCACAGCTAGGGGGACGCGGAGGAAGAGGACGACGAGGAGCTCACGCCGCTAGGGGGATCCTGCTTGCAGGTCCGCGGTCCACATCCGCAGTGGGTGGGCCTCCGTGTTGAGTACAAACTCCTCCAAGCTCAGCGTGCTCCTGGGCGAGAATATGAGGTAGAAGTACTTCAGCGTCTCTGCCAGCCAGAAGCTCTCCTGCGAGTCCCGCTTCGAGGGCGAGCTCTTCCGCACGTCGACGACGGCGGAGAAGCCGAAGCGCGCCCGGGAGTGCTTCTGGAAGGCGCCGAACATCTCGTGCGCCCAACGGCGGTACTTCGGATCGCCCGTGTAGTAGTGCATGTAGTAGAGGGCCTCGATGGCCTCCGGGCGGAGCAGGTTGTGGGGTGCGTCCTGGGGGAACACCATGTCCTCGCCGCTGCCCTTCTCGACCTTGAAGTTGACGTACTCCGGCGAGAGGCCGGTGGGGCTCCGCCGGTACATCTCGTAGCACGTGCGGGCCACCTCCGCCGCCAGCTCCTCCCAGTAGGGGTCGACCTCCTCCGGGGGCAACGTGCGCGCCCCGAGCATGAGCATGCCGGACACGAAGCAGGCCAGGTGGTCCATCTTGAACTTCGGCTTGCCGCTCTCCTTCTCGGTGATGAACGTGAGGCCGCCCTGGGTCCTCACGACGAGCTGCGAGACCATCTCCTTCACGGTCAGCTTCCAGGCATCCTTGAAGCGATGCTCCACCTTCGTCGGCAACTCATGGGAGCCTCCCATGCCATCTTGCTGGCCTTGCGAATCGACGCTAATCGACGCTAGTCGACTTGAATTGGAGTTAAGTTGACGCTATATTGATGCTGTATCGACGCTAATCGTCGCGAATCGACGCTGCATCGGCTCTATCTCATCGATTACCAAACGCTAATCGACGCCACCAACCTCTAAAAACAGAGCTGCGAGGCTCCCACGATTTGCTGCCGAACTCCACCCGGCCCGTCTGCACCCACTGCTTGAGCAGGTACTCGTAGTACGAATCACCCATCGCACCGAGGGATATCTTGGTGCCAACAAAGGACGGCTTCGCAGCCTTTCGGCGGCGCGCGCAAGGAGGGAGGAGGGAGGAGGGAGGAGGAAGGAGGGGGGAGGAGGGAGGAGGGAGGATGGAGGAGGGAGGAGGGAGGGAGGATGAAGGAGGGAGGAGGGAGGAGGGAAGCTGGAGGAAGGGGAGAGAGGAGGAGGAGGGAGGAAGGAGGAGGAGAATGAGGAAGGAAGAGGAGGAGGGAGGAGGGGAGGAGGGAGAGAGGAGGGAGGAGGGAGAGGAGGAGAGGAGGAGGAGAGGAGGGAGGAGGAGGAGGAGGAGGAGGAGGAGGAGGAGGAGGAGGTGGTGGAGGGGGGCGAGGGCTGCTCAGATGGAGGCTGCCCCTCAGAAGGCGCCGGCCGCCCTTCTGAGAAGCCAGGGGGGCGCCGCTCCTTCGGAGCACCCCAGCAGCTTCCTAGAAGCACGGGGCAGCTTCTCTTGCCAGCCTCGAACGTATCCCTATCCCCAAGATTGACACGCCAACCAAAAGGCGATGACAGTCTTAGGGATCCGCCCTCGAAAATAGGGGAATCCGCAAGATTGGCGTCGGGATGAGGAGGTGCCCAGCACAGGGATAGGGACATGCTCCAGGCTGGTAATTCTCGGAGACCGAAGCCGCTTCCCAGAGGCAGGCCACCCACTCCTCCGCAGCACGCCCCCCCAAAAAAACGGCGTCTGAGAAGCAAAACCGCCCCAGCTCCTCGGAAGAGAGGGGCGCCCGCGCCCTCGAGGACAGGGGGGCGGCGCTTCGCAGGGGCCCTCCCCCCTCCCGCCGAGGAGGAGGAGGAGGAGGAGAAGGAGGAGGAGGCGGGAGGAGGAGGACCCCCCTTCGCGCATTGAGCTGGGCCTTGTTGTTCAGGTAGAGCGGCACGAGGCCCCGGCCGCCCGCCGCCGCCAGGACGGTGTTCTCCGCCCTGTCCGCCAGCCTCTTGTACGTCGGGTTGCCCGTGGCGTGGGAGAGGTAGCGGAACTCCACCTGGCAGATTTCAGAAAATCCGGAACCCAAAAACGTTTTCTGCTCTTGGGGGCGCTTGCTGTACTTCCGCCGGCCTTCCGCCGCCGCCTTCCGCGGCGGAAGAGATGACAACGCCCCTCTATCCTCGAAGGCAAGGCCTCTTTTTGGGAACGCCTCACCTGTAGTGGAAGGAAAAGCGGCATAAACATAGATGCATGGCACTGCCAGAAAGAAAGCCAAATCAGTTGCGAAGACCCTTGGCTCAGAATCGAGTCGTGCATGCCTGACCAACGGCCGAGCCCCTCTTTGGAGGCGTTCCCTTGTCGCTTCTTCTTGTTTTCAAAACGACTCCTCCCCTCGCAAGAAACGCCGAGGGGGGCTCCCTTGCAAAATTGTGAGGGCGAGGAAACGCAAGCAGAGACAAGGAACCACCGAGCCCCTTCCGAACCCGAACTGGACCTTTTGTAGCGCCATGACTGCAAACTTCCGGAGCTCAATGCGGACTTCTTGGATCGGCGCCAGAGCCCCCTTCGCGCGACGGGGGCGGCGCCGCAGGCACAGCCAGGGGGGCCCAGCGCAGATCCGAGAGATCAGCGCGGAGCTCCGAGAGTTTGTGCCTGGGCAGCTCTTCCTTCTCCGAAGCGCCTGAATGGTCGTGGGCTCGGCGAGGACCGTGTTGGCGTTCTTCGCCTTGAGCAGGGACCGACCGTCCTAGCATTCTTATAGACCTACCACGACGTGTTCTTAGAACCCGAAAGTTTTCGAAAAACAAAAACAATGTTCTTAGAACATAAACCCGATGTGTTAAAACAAAGCAGTCCCAGCCAGAAATGTTCCAAGAACATTTCGTCGAAACCACAGAAGGTTCTCGGAACGTTCTCTTGGCAGGCCTCTTGGCGAGCCAGGACGCTTCGCCACTGCCTGATCGCCTGCTGCCACGTGTGCTTGCCCGCGTCGCCCGTGCCGACGTCCACGGACGCGTGCGGCATCCCGTGCTCGGTGTCGAAGGCCGGCAGCATCTTGTCCACGAGACGCTGGGCCACCTCCAGGAAGAGCGGCCGGCCGCTGAGCGAGTGGGCGCTCGCGGGGGGCCGCAACGGAACACGCCCACCTCGCCCAGAAGATCAAGCGCTGCATACTACAACCCTCGCCGAAATTGAACGCAAGTTTTTCCACCCCCGTCGCCCCCAAATTTCAATGTTCAATGTTCAATTTCGACGAGGGATGTATTACCAGCCTGGAACATATCCCTGTCCCTGTGCTGGGCATCTCCTCATCACGATGCCAATCTTGGGGATTCCCTTGTTTACTGAGGGCGCATCCCTGAGATTGCCATCGCTTTTTGGCGTGTCATCTTAGGGGTTAAGTTCGAGGCTGGTAATAATAGTACACGTCGGTGGGAAGAAGTGGCCAGAGGCATGAAGCAATCCGGGGGGCGCTGGAAGCGGATGGGGCTTCCGCCCGCCCCCCGGAGGGGGGGGGCAGAGGGGAGGCCACTCGACCATGGAAGCAGGAGGGCGCCCGGTAGACTGGCATCTTGAGGGGCCCACATACCTACTTGCAACGACCGGCGTGCACCCTCGGATCCGTGGGACGCACAAGGACAAGTACTGCATGTCCTCCTTGGAGGCGCGCGTCCGACTCGAACATCTTGTCTACCCATCTTGTGGTAGATCGTTTCCCGAGCGGTGTGGCCAGAGAAAGCGCCCGCCACAACGCGTATACCATAAGAGTTCTCGGTGCGCGCGTGACCCCAAGGGGGGCGACGCACACACAGTACTAGTATGTAAGGGTGACGCCGAAATCACCCCTGGAGCCCCAGACCCAATCTCTCTGCGGCATTTTTCGAGCCAGACCGATCCGTGAGGGTCCTGGGGCCCGAAAAAAGGCGAAAAAACGCCCGCTCGGAAAACAAAATACTACGCCAGGATCTCAAGGTTCGAGCTTCGCGCCGAGGCAGGCCCGATCATGTCTTCTTGCTTCTCGCCGTGTTCTCTTCTTCGATTCGGTTTTCGTGCTTTCCCCTCCTGACCCATTCGCCTCCTCCTCCTCCTCCTCCTCCTCCTCCTCCTCCTCCTCCTCCTCCACGTCATCATCATCATCATCATCATCATCATCACCACCACCACCACCACCACCACCATCATCATCATCATCATCATCATCATCATCATCATCATCATCATCGTCGTCGTCGTCATCATCATCATCATCATCATCATCATCATCATCATCGTCATAAGCATCATCATTATTTGCAGCAGCATCATCATCAGCATCAGCATCATCATCATCAGCAGCATCATCAGCAGCATCTTCTTCTGTATCATCATCAGAATCAGCATCGTCACCATCATGAGCATCATCTGCATCATGGTCATCAGCATCAGCATCAGCATCATCATCATCATCACCATCATAATCATAGCAATCATCCTAATTCTCTTTATCCGGATCATCATCAACCTCATCACCATCAGAATCATCGTCGTCGTCATCAGCATCAGCATCAGCATCATCAGCATCATCATGTTGGTCGTCATCATTATCATCATCACCGTCGTCATCATTGAAATACTCATCCTCATCCTCATCATCGTCATCATCACCACCACCGCCATCGCCGTCGCCACCATCGTTATCATCGTCATCGCAGACAGCATAATCGTCGCCATCATCATCATCATCATCATCATCATCATCATCATCATCATCATCATCATCATCATCATTATCATCATAATCATCGACATCGTCATCGTCATCATCGTCCTCAGAATCATCAACAGTATCGTCGTCGTCATCATCAGCAGCATCATCACCATCAATATCGCCACCATCGTCGTCATCATCTTCATCATCCTCATCATCAGCAACATCATCACCACCACCGTCCTCAGCAGCATCGTGATCGTCATGATCAGCAGCAGCAGCAGCAGCATCCTCATCAGCATCACCAACATTATCATCATAAGCAGAAGCGGCAGCATCGTCATCATCATCATCATCATCATCATCAGCAGCAGCATGATCATCATCGTCATTATCGTCGTCAACCTCGTCATAATCATGCATCATCGTAAGCGTCGTGAACAGCTCAAGAATCATCAGCAACAGATTCGTCACCATCAGCATCATCGCAATCATCATCATTGTCGTCGCCAGCATCATCATCAGCAGCATCACCCACCATCAACATCATCACATCACCATTACCAACAACAACAGCCACGCAACCTTCATAGTCATCATCATCCGCATCATCATAGCATCATCATCATCAGCATCATCATGATCATCATCATCATCATCATCATCAGCAGCAGCAGCATCATCATCATCGCCGTCGTCATCATCGTCATCGTCGTCGCCGTCGTCATCATCGTTGTCGCCGTCGTCGTCATCATGATAATTCAAATCACCATCATTATCGTAATCATTATCATCAGCATCATCATCCTCGTCATCATGATCATCATCATCATAATGATCATCATCAACATCATCATGAACAGCACCATAAGCATCATCATCGTCATCCGCCTCAATATCATCATCACCATCATCGTCATCATCATCGACCTCACCATCATCATCAACATCATCATCAGTAGTAGCATCATTCTCGTCATCATCATCATCATCATCATCATCATCATCATCCTCATCATCATCACCCACTAAAACATCATCATCAGCAGAAGCAGAAGCCGCAGCAGCAACAGCATCAACATCGTCATCAGCAGCAGCATCACCATCAACAACAACTTTAGGAGCCGCAGCATCCTCAACAACATCATCGTCGTCGTCATCTGTCTTCTCCTTCTCCTCCTAGGCCTCCTCCTCCTTATCGCTCCTTCTCCTCCTTCAACCTCTTTCTTCCTCCTCCAACTCCTCCTCCTCCTCCTCCTCCTCCTCTTCCTCCTCCTCTTCCTCTTTCCACTCCTTGCTGCCCAGGAAATGTGAGGCTCTAGTCTTGGGGACTCAAATTTGCACGACGGGACCTGAGAAGAATGACAGGATCGGGTCTGGAATTTGACGCGAGCTTCCGCTGCAGACATGTCACGAAACCTCGACCGTCAAAATGCACGACGAGAGCGTCAAAAACAGCGGCAAACCCGAGTTCAGGTAAACTAGAGTCTTAAATCTCTCGTATGAATTACAGGGGAGTCGAACGACAGCAAGAACTGCGTAAGCCTAACATTTGGCAGGTCCGCGCGGGTCTCCCACAGTTTGTGGTGTGCTGCCTGTTTTGTTGCTCGATTCCAGGGGTGTGGCGTTGGTGTCCCTTTTGTGGCTCCCCTGCTCAGGAGGCCTCCTACGGCACGGATGGTGATTTCGAACAGGCTGTTCAGGCCGTGCCCCCTTGTGGCAGCGGGTATCTTGTTCTCGCGCAGCCACTTCTCGGCGTCGTCGAACTCATCTTTAAGCCCCATGATCCACAGCGTCGAGAGAGAGTCCAGCATGGTGATGGCCAGCTTGCACCAGTCCTTGTGCCCCCCGGTGACGGGCTTGACCTCGTCGTAACCCCACGCCTTCTGCCGGTAGCCCGCCCACGAGTGGCGCATGGCGTCCCGGACCTCGTCGGCCCAGGGGTCGGCCTCGCGCTGCGACTGGATCAGCTGCTCCTCGCTCCTGGGGAAACCAAAAGGTACCGATACACCGCCACTCCCCGGACCTCCCCTGGGGTGAGTTCTGACCAGGGCTTCGAGGCGAATCCAGCGGTGGCGACGACGGAGGCCCAGGAGGCCCAAAGAGGGGAAAACGAGGGGAGGGTAGATCGGGAGCGGCCAAGAGGGGGGTGTCCAAGAGGGGGGGGTGCAAATCATGACCGGCGGCATGTGCGCGGCCCTTGGGGAGGCCAAGGACGTAATGAAATAAGAAGAGGCGCCCTGAAATCTGGGGAAAAATATCATGGCCCACGCTGTGAGATCCACCCCCCCCTAGTCATCACCCCCCTCTTTGCCGCCCCCGAGTAGAGGTGTGGGTACCCCAGATTTCGTAATAAAAGGGAGGGGGTCTGGACCCTCCAAGACAAGCCATTTCAGACCCCCCCCCGTGGGAGAACCCTGCAAAACATCGTCCCCAGACCCCCCCAGGCCCTCCAAGATAGCCTGGAAGAGACCCCCCCCCCGAAACGAGACCCCCCTCCCTTTTACTACGAAATCTGGAGTACCTTCTCCTCCTCTGAGCTCCAGGCCCTCGTCCACTCGGCCGGCCAGGTCGCGCGCAGTGCCGCGGGCTCCAGCGTGGGCCCTGGCGGGCCCGCCACGACGCCGGTGTCCGCGAGGATCGGGGCGCGCGGCTGCTCCGCATAGGGCACGAGGGCCACGGCCCCGCTGTCCTCCGCGGGGTTGTCGCTGCGCCGCGCGGTGATGGCCATGCTGTCTACGAGGTTCTCGGGCTCGGCGCCGACCTGGAACTGCACCTCCAGGGCGATCGCGGAGGCCGGCACGATCGCCTGGGCCAGCAGGTCGCTGGACGGCAGCCTCAGCAGGTGGAGCGCTGCCTCGGCGTTCTCGGCGGCCGCGTGGACGATGCGCACGTCACCGATGAAGCCGATGAAGACGTGCGACTGTACGCTGGTGGAGTCCTTGGGCTGGGGCTGGTGGGCCCCGAGATATAGCGCGGCCTTCTGGCCTGGCGCCCGAACAGCCCGGGCCGTGATGTCCACCTGCTCCAGGGGCAGGGGGCTGCCAGCCCTGACGGCCTCGCCAATGCTCCGCCTGGTATCCGCGATGAGGCTGTCGCCGAGGAAGAGCCGGGCAGTGTTCTGCTGCCGCGAGAAGGCGAAGCCCACCCGGATCCACCTGAGCGACGATGGGCAACGGGCCTTCCGCACGATCGCCCAGCGGCCTCACGCCACGGCGTGTACGCGGGCCGCCAGCGCTGCACGCCACACCGGAAGCGAGGGCTCTCACGCGCCGATCTCACGCGGGCAGCTTACGCTTAGGTCGGGCATGTCCCCCCCCCAAACGGATTTTGAACGAAGACTAGAAAATACACACAAAAAATGCTCATGAGTAGACAAATAATAATCGAATAATCGTCCCCAGACTATTTTTTTACTAGCTTTGAAGTTCCCCCCTGTAGAGTTGTGGATGCCATGATCATGGACACTCTGACAATCCTTGCATTGAGTCCCACCAGCCCTTTGGGCGTGAGTGGTTTAGAGAACCTGCTCTGTCCTCAACCCCCCTTCTTCCCCTTCGGGGAGGGGTTTACCCCTCCCCCTCCCCCCTCCCCCTGGACCTGGAGAGGGTGCCCCGCGGGTCGTTGGAGGGGTCTTTTCCGACTCCTGGGAGGGCTAAAAAACGACGACCCTCACGAGGATTCTGGCCCCGACGGGGGGGCCGAGTTTGGCTCCTCTGCTCTTCTGCGAAGCCAAAATCATTGATTTTACTAGGGTTTTGGCCCCACTTTGGCCTCCTGAGGGGGCCGCGCTTCTCTTCCCTCATAGCAAAATCCTTGATTTTACCAAGGTTTTGGCCTCATTGTGTCCTTCTCAGGGGGCAGCTCTCCTTTGCGCTTCTGCGGAGGTCGCACGAGGCCCCAAGATGGCCCCAAGAGGCCCCCAGGAGGCTCCCAAGAGGCCTCCAAGAGGCCCCCCAGGGGCCCCCAAGCGGCCCCAAGAGGCCCCCAAGAGGCCCCCAAGAGGCCCCCAAGAGGCCCCACGAGGCCCCAAGAGGCCCCCAAGAGGCCCCCAAGAGGCCCCCAAGAGGCCCACGACGCCCCAAGAGGCCCCCAAGAGCCCCCAAGAGGCCCCCAAGAGGCCCCCAAGAGGCCCCACGAGGCTCCAAGAGGCCCCCAAGAGGCCCCACGAGGAGCCCGAACGACTCACATCAGGACGAGGGGCCCGAACGACTCACACCACGAAGAGCCCGAACGACTCACACCACAAGGAGGGGCCCGAACGACTCACACCAGGACGAGGCGCCCGAACGACTCACACCACGAGGAGCCCGAAGGACTCACACCACGACGCGGGCCCCGAACGACTCACACCACGAGGAGCCCGAACGAGTCACACCAGGAGGAGGGGCCCGAACGACTCAACTCACACCACGAGAAGCCCGAACGACTCACACCAGGACGAAGAGCCCGAACGACTCACACCACGAAGAGCCCGAACGACTCACACCAGGAAGAAGGGCCCGAACGACTCACACCAGGACGAGAAACCCCAAACGACTCAAACCACGAGGAGCGCTTTCTCTCCCTCCTCCTTCGCCTCGTCCTTCTCCCGCTCCCCCCACAAGGAGGATGTACAAGGAGGCGGGAGGAAGGAGGAACAGGGGAGATATGCGGGGCCAAGCGGACATACGCCTGAAAAACACGACTGTCGGCATGCTTCGCGAGAGTTGCTGCTGTGAGATGGGCTGGTGGGGATACGCGAAGCGTAAAGAATTAAGATTGTGTTTAAAATGTGTGACACATGTTCTAAGCATGTCTCAAACATGTGTTTTACAAGTTTAAAACATGTTTGAAACATTTTTTGACACCTGGAAAGTATTTGCATTCTTCCTCTGCATTAATCGACGTCCACAACTGTAGAGGAACAGACCCGATTTAAGCTTACGCGCGAGTGCTGGCGCAGTCGATCCAGCTTTCTTCTGGCACTCACCTGTCGTAGGGCACGAGGACCGTGCGCGAGAACAGCTCGTTGCACGCCTTCCCCTCTGCCGTCCAGGACAGCCGCAGCTGCTGGTTCGTGGTGCCCCACTCGTGGACCCAGAGCGACCAGCCCTGGGAGGCCTCGCTCTGCACCTCGCACCCGCTGATCTTCGTGGACGCGATCGTCTTCATGGAGCCCGACGAGACCGGAAAGCTGCCCGGCGCCACCTTCGGCAGGAAGATCCAGGCGCTGAACACGATCTCGTCGGAGTCCGCACCCGTGAGGAGGGACATCCACGCGTCTCCTTCGAAGGACGCCACGCCGCCCTTCGCCGCAGCCTGCCCCGCGCCCGCCGGGTGGTCCAGCGCACGGCCCGGCAACAGGCCGCTGGCTGCATCCGCGGACCTCTGCGCGAGCTTCTGCCACTCCTGCGGGAGGGGTGCAGCGGCGTCCCCGGACGTCCGGCGACTCGCCTTTCTCGAGGCACGGGCCCCTTTTCTCTCGACGACTTCCACCGGGAGCGCTTCTTCATCCCGAGTCGGCCCCGAGGCCGGGTAAGGGCGCCGAGAGGCCGCAAGAGATGGGAATGCACCTGGCGCGACCTCAGTTACGGGAAAGCTTCCTGTTGCATGGGCGCAGTTTGGCATGGCTTGGCATTGCTTGGGGACCTGGGGAACCCGAGAAACCCGAAGTGCCCGGGGACCCCGAGGAACCCGAGGAACTCAGGGAACCCGAGGAACCCGAGGAACCCGGGGAACCCGAGGAACCCGAGGAACCCGCGGAACCCGAGAAACCCAGGGAATCCGGGGGAACGCGAGGAACCCGAGGAACCCGAGGGACCCGGGAACCCTCCGAGGAACGCGCAGAGTGGCCACCCGAGGCACCAACCCTCTAACCAAATGAGAAAGAACCCCTCAGGCAAGTCTCATTGGGTGAATACCTCCGTCCCGATGCTTTCGACCCGCCAGACGTATGGGTCGGCTTCACGCAAGAGTGACCCTGGGCAAGAGTGACATTTGGTGCACGGCTTTTTGGGGGCCGCGTGGGGACCAAACCTGGGCGCGCAAGCCGCTGCTCCTGCCTCGCTCTCAGCCATCTGGGGACCCATCTGTGCCCGCACCAAAGGTCACTCCAGCGAAAGGTCACTTTTACGTCTAGACGTCTGGGTCGGTCCCCAGAAGTCTCGACCCATTCCCCAGGACCGGATTTTCATCCTGAGTCGTTTTGTGAGGGTCCCGGGGCCCGGCGAGGGCCCCTGGAGGCAAAACAAAACAAAAAAAACGAACAACCTCCGCCTTGATTTTTCACTACGTTGGATCTCTGGGGACGTCTGGGTCGGCATGCCTCCCGAGCTCCGGCGCGCCGCTGCTCCGGCCCTCCGCCGCCGATGTGATTCTTCCGGCTTGCGTGATGAAGCGGGGCCTCCGCACTCAAGCACAGCAAACCGCGCTGAGCCATGATCGGCGACTGCCGAATCAGTTGATGCGTGGCGCACCACAACAAACCCAGACCCCCGACGTAATGATTTTTTCATTACGTCGACCCCCAGAGGTCCCGACCCTTTCCCCATGACCGGCTTTGCATCCTGAGTCGTTTTTTGACGCTCCCGAGGCCCGGCGAGGGCCCCCGGAGGCCGAAAATTAGGAAAAACCTCCCGTCGTGATTTTTTCACTACTCGAGGGGGTCTGGGAAGCGAGAACAAGTTCTTTAGAATGAGAACTTTACCACGCGCTCTCGAAAACGGGAGCGAAGGGTCCCCGGGGCCCCGGGGGCCCCTCCCGGGGGAGCGCGCTCCGGCGTCGGCACATCCGAGGGGCGGAGCCCGGGCGTGGCGCGGCGAGGGCCAGCCGCCCTCCCTATGTGTGTGAAAGGGGGCCCAGGGACACACACAGAGAGAGACACACAGAGAACACAGAGTTCCCCAAAATGCTCCCAGATGTTCTGAATTCCTGTCTTCCCCCCCCACTTCCCATATTTTCCCATACGTTCTGGGTTCCTGTCTTCCCCCCCTCGTCCCAGATTTTCCTATATTTTCTGGGTTTTTGTCTTCCCCGCCACTTCATATGTTCCCATATGTTCTGGGTTCCTGTCTTCCCCCCACTTCCCATATGTTCCCAAATTTTCGAGGTTCTGTCTCCCCCCCCCACGTCCCATATGTTCCCCAATCTTCCTGGGAGTCGACGGTTCATTGTGTCTGTGTGTTCTTTCCCCCTCCTGAATGTGCCCTGCCCTCCCTGGGGCTCCGACGACGCGGCAGGACTGCAGCAGCGTGAGCAGTCACGACTGCGGCCCTGCAGCGCGTTTTTGTTATGTTTCGCGATAGCGTCCGTTACCCGCCCGGGCCGCGCCCCTCCCCCCAGGTAGGGTCAGGATTCGTGCTGACCTCCGAATTGGCTTGTTTGGCTATGCCTGAACAGTCCCAGACGGCGCCAGCGCGAAACGTGACGATGCTGGCCCCCCCACCCCGCCCCTCCCCCGGTGACGCCCGTTCTCGCCCGGGAAAAAAAAACGCCTCCTCCTCCTCCTCCTCCTCCTCCTCCTCCTCCTCCTCCTCCTCCTCTCCTCCTCCTCCTCCTCCTCCTCCTCCTCCTCCTCCTCCTCCTTCTCTTCCTCCTCCTCCTCCTCCCTCCTCCTCCTCCTCCTCCTCCTCCTCCTCCTCCTCCTCCTGGACCTCAGCTGCTCTCCTTCTACATTGCCTCCTGCTCTTACGGCACCGTGCCGTGAGTAGGCGGCGCCAGGGGGTAGTCCGTCGCGCGCCCGCGTGCGCGGCGGGAGACCTTCCTGAGGCGCTGCGCTCCTCCTGGACCTCATCTCCCTGCTGCATTTTTGTCCAGCCGGATCTTTCCGCGAGGGCCCCAGGGCCCGAAACCGGGCGAAGACGCCCGGCGTGGGAACTCCCCCGGCAAGAGCACCCGAAGGGTAGCAGGGGTCAAGAGGCGGACCGAGGAAGAGGTCGGCCAGTGACAGGGGTGAGGGCACGGCCATGCGCGCCTCAATCCCACCAGCCCTCTGGGCGTGAGGCGTGAGTGGATGAGGGAGTGTCCCCTTCCATCTTCCCTCTTCCCATTCGGGGAGGGGTTTACCCCTCCCCCTACCCCGTAACCCTGGATCTGGAGGGAAGGTCACGAGGTGTCAGAAGGCCTTTTTCGGCGTCGGCGAGAAGGCACAAATCCTTGATCTTACTCAGGTTTTGGCCACACACACACACTTTGACCTCCTGGGAAGGGGGCGCTAATTGAGTACGGCCCGTCCCCCGAGGCTCCCAAGGATGCCCCAAGACGGAGAGATGCCCAGGAGGCCCCAAGAGGCCCCCCCCAAGATGTTCCCAAGAGGCCACCAAGAGACCTCCAACGGGGCCCCAAGAGCCCCCCCAGAGGCACCCAAGAATCCCCAAGAGGCCTCGGCGAGAACACCTAAATCACTGATTTGACCTAGGTTTTTGCCACATGTTGGTTCCAAGAGGCATCCCAGATTCTTCTGGCCTGCTTGCTCGCCCTCTTCCTCTTCCTCCTCCTCCTCCTCCTCCTCCTCCTCCTCCTCCTCCTCCTTATCCTTCTCCTCCTAGTCCCTCCTCCTCCTCCTCCCCTCCTCCTCCTCCTCCTTTTTCCTCCTTATCCTTCTCCTCCTCTCCTCCTCCTCCTCCTCCTCCTCCTCCTCCTCCTCTCCTCCTCCTCCTCCTCCTCCTCCTCCTCCTCTCGCCATCATCCGCCTACTGATCCTTTCCTGTTGCCTCCTCACCATTTCCCTCTCCATCCTCCTCCTCCTCCTCCTCTTCCCCTCCTCGTCCTCCTCCTCCTCCTCTCCTCCTCCCTTTCCTCCTCCTCCTCCTCCTCCTCCTCCTCCTCCTCCTCTTCCTCCTCTTCCTCCTCCTCCTTCTCCTCCTCCTCCTCCTCCTCCTCCTCCTCCTCGTCCTCCTCCTCGTCCTCCTCCTCCTCCTCCATCACTTTTCCATATCCGCCACCGTGCCGATGGGCACAGAGTAGACGTGTCCCTAGGCCCTTTTACCGAATCCTCTGAGCAGCAATCCTCACTCCTGAAAAATGGTTACAAGGGCCCAGAACCCAAATTGCCAACGTTGGCGGGGCTTGGCGCGACGCGTCAGGGATCTAGCACATAGTGTTGCATTACTTTTTCTGACCTAAGAGGGCCCCAGAACAAGCAAATAGGGCCTCAAGAGGCCCCCAAAACGGTCCAATAGGGCCCCGATTCGAGCTCCCGACGCTCCAAGACGGCCCAAGAGGCCCCCAGGCCCGCCCCAAGACGGTCCAAAAGGCCCCACAGGAGGGCGACAGCACAGCCCAAGAGGGCTCAAAGACGGCCCCAGAGGCGCCCAAGACGGCCCCAGGGGACCCAAAGACAGCCCCAAGGGGGGCCCAGGAGGGGGAACACGAACCGAAAATCCGAATATTCCGCCCAAAGAGGCCCCCAGGAGACTCCAAGGAGGCCCGAAGAGGCCCCCAGGAGGCCCCAAGAGGCCCCAACGAGACCCCGAAGACGCCCCAAGGGGCTCCGAAACGGCCCCCGAAAAGCCTCAAAACGGCTCCCAAGAGGCCCCCGAGAGGCCTTTTGCGACGTCCCAACGAAGATCCGAGAGGCCTAAGACCAACAACCCAGGCACGGTGGCGGAATGCGCCGTAAGCTATTACTGAAATAACACCTCCATGTCGCACCCCGAGGCGTGTCGGTAGGGCGGGCTGAGCGTTTCGTCTGAGACTTCCTACTGTTTGTGATCGTTAAGGGGAAGGTGTGCAAGAGTTTCACGGATGGGCGGCGGGCCGCTTTCGAAACTTAGTTTACGCCGCGCGCATTCTTGTAAGAAATTCACGAATGGAGGGCAGTTCCCTTTTCACAAAAGGCGGCTCTCGCCTTCGCGCCGCGCGCACTCATGTTGGATAGTTGCCAGAGCTTCACGGATAGAAGGCGTCTCGTTTTCAAAGTGTGGCTCTCGCCTTAGCGCTGCGCGCACTAACGTTCCGGAAACGGCGTTTGGG